AGTTACACATCCTATTTAACCTGACTCACACAGCCAAGCTTGAATTGCTGCATAACTGCATAATTACTAATAGGATCTTTTTTCTATTTTTTTTATCTAGCATTGTGAGGTTAAGAGTCTGTAAGATGATATTCTCCTTAAAATATTATTATTAAATCGTAAAAAGGAAAAGGGAGCTCTGTGCCTGAAAACCGAATTTTATTCTCAGCATTGATGTGGCCGTTCAGTGGTTATGGGCAAAGCTCTTAAAGATTTTCTTGTCTCAGTTTACTGAACTGTGAAATGCTGATAACACAACTGCAGCTCTGGGGATCTGGGAAGTCTGATGCTTTAACTGCCTGGAGTTTTTCATACACAGGATGTGAAAAAGTTTAAAATATGACTATGGCACCATCTTTTATACTTGCTCTGTACTTACTGCTCTACACTTACAAATATGATATTTAGTCCTCTGCAAGTTGATTAAAAGCACTTGAAGATATACATTTATATGATATCTATCCAAAAAATGATGCTGTGTGCCTTTCAGCAAAGAAGTAGATACAAAATTTATAACTCTTCATATGACTGTTCTTAGCAAATAAAAAAAATTCTGTTTCTGACAGGATGTATTGTATTGAAAAGGAATATTCTGTTTCGGCAAATTTAATAAATTAATTATTATTATGACTACTGCTGGTGAAAGCTCAGCAAAGCAGATTTATCAAATGAATATGTAAAAATAATGTTATTACAAGTTACTGAATTTATTCTTAACAGCTAGTGTTAAAAATTGATGAAATCAAACTGCTAAAATACATACAGTCGTTGTTGCTTTTTTTGTTGGTTTTTTTTTTCAGTATCGCTGCAATCATGTTCAAAACAGCATTTCGCATAACAGAAAACCTCCAAATATGTGTTTTGTCCCACTAGGGATATTTAGGGCTAAAATAGCTGTTAATTTGCACCTGATGGTGAGATGTTTATTTTCAGAACAAAACGTAAACGTTTTCTAAGATGTGTCATACTCATTTCACACATTTCATGAAACACTGTGGGCATCTGTTTATTTGTAATTTTTGCATAATTTGGCCATAATTTGCTTGATATTTTTCCATGCTTGCTTTCCGAGGGAGGAAGAATATGCAACATACAGAGTATTTAATGCAAAATATCCTTTTAGCAGAAGCTGAACTTCACTAAATTGGTCTTTAGAGGGCATCTACTTCAGCTCTCATATTTGTCTTTTCCTATTTCTGCTAGAGTTTGACTACTTACCTGACTTATTTCCCATTTTTTCCCTCCTGGCCTCTCTTGTTATGGCTGAGACCTTCTCATGTGTTTAAATATTAGCAGCTGCCTGGAAGCAACCTTAACTCCACGTGGGACAATCTGATTATGTTTCCTTAGCAAAAGTGTGTTGAGACGAACGGTCGCTTGGGAATAAACACGAGCTCATCTGTAGACATCTATTGGTACATGGGGATAACGGAAGGGGCAGTAACTCATGTATGGATAATAACCCTGCTTCCCTGAAACCGCATTGATAATCTGAGGGAAAGCTGTGCCTTGTCTCATCAACCTGCTATTCATTCTGTGCAGACACACTCTTGCAAGATCGTCACTATGCATTAGGCAGAAAATGAGGTGAAGCGCTCTTTGATTGCCACCAAGCCAACCTGTAAATGTCATTGAACCCTGAGTATTAGCAAGATCGATTTGCAACAGCACAACCCATAGACCATTGAGGAAATGGAAACACCAAGGGAAATGAGCATGTGTTGGAGGCTCTGAGCTGTGTTAGGAGATAACTTTTTTCTAGTTGCAGGTAGATGAGTGCTGAAGCTAAACCAGGAAAGGTTTTGAGGAAGATTGCGTTCTTATCATAGAATCATGGAATCATTAGGTTGGAATAGACCTTTGAGATCATCAAGTCCAACCACTGACCTAATACCACCATGCCCACTAAACCATGTCCCAAAGTGCCGTATCTATGCGTTTTTTGAACACCTCCAGGGACAATGACGCCACCACTTCCCTGGGCAGCCTGTTCCAATGTTTGACCACTGTTTCAGTAAAGAAATTTTTCCTAATATCCAATCTAAACCCCTGCTGGTGCAACTTGAGGTCATTTCTTCTCATCCTACCACTTGTTACTTGGGAGAAGAGACCGACCCCCACCTCACTGCAACCTCCTTTCAGGTAGCTGTACAGAGCGATAAGGTCTCCCCTCAGCCTCCTCTTCTCCAGACTAAACAGCCCCAGATCCCTCAACCGCTCCTCATAAGACCTGTTCTCCTGACCCTTCACCAACTTCGTTGCCCTTCTCTGGACACGCTCCAGCACCTCAATGTCTTTCTTGTAATGAGGGACAGAAAACTGCACCCAGTAGCACTTCCCCAGCCTTTCCCCTCAGGACTTGATATCTGTCTGTCCTTATCAGGCCATGTGCCCACAGCTGCTCAGGAAAGGGATGAAACCCTCTGGCAGTGACATTAGGCCGTGCTGGAGGCAAGCCTGCACCCAAACCTTGTGTCCCTGCTCTGCCCTGCTGCCTGCCAAACCTCCAACACCCTCCGCTCCCTGCTGCTGCCCTTAGTTCAGCAGAAAGCTCTCCTTCTCCTCTCCAGACCCAGAGATCTGCACTCTTCCCCTCTTATGACCTCCAGCCAGCCTGTACCCACTCCAGCCTCCTCACACCTTCACTTGTTGATGTCCTTGGGTATTCTCTACTCATATTAGTGCACTGCTCTGCAATCTAAGGCTTTCTAAGCCACGCTTAATTAATTTTCACAAAAGATCATCTCACAAACCTCAAATCCAAGAGGAAATTGTAGCAAAGAAATATCCAGCAGACAAGAAAGTATGTTTAATAAATAAGACGGACTGAATCAGAGACCTGCCTCATGTACAACACCACTCAGTAACAACTGACTGCTACCATAAATACGCATTTTCCTCTCTGCCTCAAGCCAAGATAAATCAACTTTGACTGTTTTTAGGAAAATTCTTTTTTTTTCCTCATGTTTAAGCCACAAAAATAGTGTGAATACAAGCTTTGATAGCAGATCCCCCAAACGAACAAGCTAAGGACAGAATAAATTGTTCTGCAAAACCAGATTCTCAGAAGTTGTCTTTAAAAGTGGGCAGGAAAGACAGCTCTTCCCCTAATTAGCAGTTCTAGATTAGCTTGGTTAATGCGCGGGAGGCTGGAGCTGGGATTGGATACAGACCCAAATGTCTCCTTGCTTGCTCAGAGCTTATCAGAACTCCCTGAACTTTCAGCCTTGCAGATACCGAGCTGGAAAAACAGAGTGAGCTCTCTGGGGAGATTTCTTGTTCATTTTTACCTGTGGTTTGGCCAGAAATACTTCAAAGATAGATTTTCTTGTGACATTTGAAGTTTTCTGACTCGGGTTCCTGCCAGAGCTTGAGGTCTACAGAGATAGATATTTATGGGGTCAGAGTTTCAGAAGATCTCAGCTTTCATATAGCCACCAAAATAAATGACCTGCTTTTCAAAAAAGGTCTCATCACTGAAAAGGCACCCAGCCTGATGTCCCATAGGGAGCTGGTGAATTTGGAAGTCCCTTTGAAATCAAGATCCAGTTGTGGGTGTTTTTCTTTTAGATATCTGACCTGAGATATTTTGAGCTAGAATTTCTAAGTGGTTTGTGATGCAAAAAAAATTAGCGAGCTCTTTAAGGCATAAAACTAAGTACAAACCTAGCTAACCATTGAAATAAACATCCTGATCCTCAAGTTCAAATTAAAAAGAAGAAACAGAAAAGAAAAGTGTCTAGGACCTCAGCACACCAAGATGAGAGGTCTGTATAAGGAAAATTACCTATTGCCTTTGTCACATGAAAGAAATGCAAATAGAATGGAGACAAAGGCTGGGGTCTAATCCAAAATCTGCAGTTACCCTGCATCAAGCAGCGCTTCTGGGCCCAAATGTATGAACTGCAGGCCCTGGTGATTCCCCTACAACCCCAGTACATGCCCATCAAGACACACTCTCCCCCTCCTAAAGCAGCTCTTCCAAGAGCTACTTTATTTTCCTTCCAGATGTGCTGTACTATTGCACAGCTGGCTTTCACTACGGGTCATGTTGGACACTTTCCTGATTCTTGGAGATCTGGGAGGCTTTGCTGTCTTTGGCTTATAATGTGTAAGGAAAAATATTGTTCATCCAAACCTTTCCACCCAGTCTCACTCCCAATAACTAAGACTTTGTATTTTGACCACAGGGAGATGTTGGTGGTGATGCAAAAGGGATGTTGCCAGTAGCCTCAGCCTTTAAGCCCCATGCAGCACATTAATTGCATTCCACAGACCTTCGAAGAAACTTCCATTGGCTACTTCTAATCCAGTACATATTAGCAAACTGCTCTGACCCAGAAGGCAGCATGGAGAAGGAACCAACTGCACAGCTGATATGCCAGTTGGAATTTTGGGCTGAAGAAAAGGGGAACCTGGGCAAAGTGGAAAACTTTGGAGAGCAGGACCACATCAGGAGGCACAATGTAACAGCGAAGTGATCCAGAGAAAACAGACCTCAGTCTTTTATAACTCTCATACTTGGATGGTACTGCTTTGTGGACTTCTCATTACAATGTGGTTTCTAAAAGCATTGAAGTCTGCATTAGTAGATCCCCAGGTAGGAAAAGCCCCTTTTAACCTTTCACTTATTTGTCCTTGAACACTCCCATGAGTTTTGCCCTGTGGACCTGCTGACTGTGAGCTGCCTCGTTCAGATCCAGCCTGCAGTGACCAGTACGGGGGTCACATCAAATTCATGAGCTGGGCTTAAATGTGGTGCAATTCTACTGCTTTTGAGGAGCTGCCTTCTCAGCAGCATGCAAACCCCTCTTGAGTCAGATCCACCGAGCTGTGACTATGCATGACATACAACACAAGAGGAGAGTCATCAGAGGATCCTGAAATCAGCTGGTCACTAGGAAAAGATGTTCTAGCTACCGCCTACAGCATTAGAAGAGCTGTTTGCAAGTGGCACTTACCTAGCATCCCTTTGTTCGAACTGGATAAGCACATATCCTTCTCAGCACTGGGAAGAACAAATCCAACCACAAATACCTCCACCCCATCTGCCATCAGTGCCAACCCTAAAACAAAGAAGAGGGTCCACTGGAAGCGTCCATGGCCACACTCCTCGATGATGTTCTCATACTGGTGGGCAAGTTGCTCCTCGTCCTCCATCCTCTCTGCCATAAGGTCAGCACGGTCTCTGTACTCATCAGCCATGGCAGGAGCTCGCTTCTTCTGCTTTTCTTTAATGTCATCTGGGTGCGGGATCCCTTGGTACTCCCCCTCATAGACCTCATCATCTTCATCATGGCCTTCTGTAACATCACTCTGGGCATCTTCTTCATGAGCAGGCTCATCCCCACCACGGTAGTAGCCGTCATTGGGTGCATACCCTTCGTAGTTACCGTCCTGGTACCTGTAGTCACCTGAGACTTGGTTTGTCTCCCTGCCCCCTTGATAGAGGTTTGTGTTTCTATATCCATCATCCATTCTGAATGGAGAGTTCTAAATGCTGTAGATCACCGTGTGTAAATGCTCTAATATAGGTTTATTGATTCGTGCGATTTCTGGTGGTGGTTACTTGAACATGTCTTCTCTGTTCTTTGGAACTGACGGCATACACAGCTTCCCAGGCTCAGAAGGAGAATTACTATATAAAGTTTCTCTTTGACAGAGTCTCACACAGCTTTTGGTAACGCTTCACTTTTCAGCTGTCATTTGTGACTGGCTGGCTTCTTCTGTGCTTTGGGTGGGAAGAGCTGCTTTCTGGTGAACACAAGGGAACAGCAAATCGCACAGCCAGGGAGCTAGGAGGATTTGGCAGCTTCTTCCTGATGCATTGTGGTGGTGAAGGTCATGTCCTGAGAAAGGGGAAACAGTAGCAATGAGACAGCAGTAAGTTTGCAAGCGCACATGCATTGGGTGTAACACCTAACATTTTGAATACATGTCTTTCCATTGCGAAAAAAAGGCAACAGAGTGTTTGAGGGAATGGTTCTGTATCATCAAAACCCAAAGCTTCAGAACAACAACAAAAAAAAGAGCATTAAAATTTACCAAGTTAAGTGGGAACCTAAAGCAGAATGTAAAGTAATGTGTGGTCCCAATTTCTGTCGTTCCCAGAAGTCCTGACTCCCACATGTGGTCCCGATTTCTACAGAGAGCAGACCAGTACTGGGCTGGGTTGCTGGAAGAGAGCTCTCAGGTTGCTAGATATGTTTCTATCTATTTACCCAGAGCACACTCATCCCTGGTACCTGGTACAACTGGCTAACATAATGACACAAAATATGAACTTGGTTTTCTTTTTCATCAGGATCCCGAACTTAATTTTATTTAATGGCTTCATTTTTCCCTAGTGTCTCTCCGTCTGTATGACAGATGTACAACTAGCATGCAGTGTCTGCCAAGATAAAGTCACCAAAAGTCACACCAAGCTCTATTCTTCCCATATCTAACCATCAATGGAGCATGATTTTCACAGAGAGTAAAAAACAAAGCTGATACAGAATCACTGCTCTCTGCAGGGAAAACCAAGGGAAGCCAAATCACATCTAAACACATTCTTATTTTGGACACCTGATTTACATTATTTTTCAAGCCTTTTTCAGCCAGCTGGCTCTCCAGTGTTCTCCTGCGTTTGTTGCCACACACAGCTGTAGACAAGGAGTTTGAAAAGAGACTCATATGGGAAACTGAGTAGAGTCACGCTAGAGGAGCCAGCACAGCGTAGGCATTGCACAAAATGTGGACTTCACTTTAAGCTTTGAGCTATTTGCCTAAAGTGTGGATGAACCACGAAACGACTTGGGCAGGCACCTGTCTGTATGTATTGTGGGCGTTGTTACCTACACAGTCAGTTGACCTATGGAAGTCTACACAAATGTGCACGCCGTAAATAACAGTGCTACCTCTGCCCTTCAGCATCTTGTTTGGCTGGCACTATGGGTTTAAACAGCATGCAGCTAAAATGACTTCAGAGGAGAAATTCAGTGGAAGCACTCTCACAAAATGCTCGGAAGGGCATCACTCCTTCTGCCAATGCTGTGTTTTTTTGGCAGACCAGATGTTCAGGATGAGGAAAGAGCAGAGGATTGACTCCTCTGCATGGAGTTGTGGCCCTGCCTTGCCTATGCCGTTCACGGGAGCTGCTCCAAGAAACTTCATAAAATCTTCCCCTGCATTTCTGTTTAGCTACCTATATATTTATGGCACATAATTATGACACAGCATCTGCAGGCCCTGCCAGAGCATCTTCCTTTTCTCTGCCCCCTCTGCCATTTGTCACTGCATTCAATGTGTTTCCTCTTCCCTTCCTTTACGCTGAATCACACAATACATTTTGCATGAAGTTAAAAAAGCAGCAGGGCATTCTTTCAGGGCTGAGAAAGAGCAATCAATAAAGTAAAAAAAAAAAAAAAAAATCTCAAAGGCATTTGGATCCGGTTAGAAAGATGAGGAGACTATAGTGCAGGTAGCAGAAAAGAGAAGTATTTGCATCCGCAGCAGAGACATTGATGTGCAGGGAAGTTAATACATCTGATAGCCATCAGAAGCACTTAAATAAGTTCTACAGCTGTTATTTCAACGCTGAACTGTCACCACTAATGGTTAAAAATCCCAGAGTACTTCTGAGTCTCAGAACCTCCCAGTCTTGAAGTAAATTTCTTGATTACACAAAGATTTGTGTCATAACTGAACATCATGTTCTCCAAGGCAGTAAAAATGTAGTTCCACAGAGACATATTTTCTTTTGAAGAGCAGTGGAAAGAGCCTTTTTTTGTGAAAAAAAAAAAAAAAAAAAAAAAAAAGAAAATGGAAAAAAAGAACAATATGTGCTGAGGAACATTAGGCCTTGCTTTGGAAGTTTTTAAATATCATGTGTTGTCAGGTGATGTTTCAAAGCAACCTCAAGCATCAGAGCAGGAAGCGCAGTGACCTCACCGTATTAGTCCCTTCCCGGTTGTTACAGAAGTGGGTTGAAAACTTATCTTAGGAAATGAGGTAATAATTACACTAATGATCAATAACAGAACTGATCACATTCCAGGTCTCCACAGACCCTACCCCTAACCTTACACCTACTTTTTCAAAAGGTAAAGACCAAACACTGGAAATCTTTTCGTTCTCTATTATAAAGCTGCCAAGGCTGGAAGCTGGGCTCTGTGCCTCCCACAAATAACAGGACCAAAGAAGATCACAGAAAAGACCTATTGAACATCTGTGCTCTTTCACTGATACACAAAGGTTGTTATTTACCGTATGGGGTCACATACATCTTGGGCAGCGTAGGAAATAATGGCATGAGCTGACGAGTCTCATAGACCAGTGACAGCCACCTGTGTTGGGAAGAATGTGTAATTCAGAAAAAAAGGACGTGGCAAATAATAGTCACCGGCTTCCCATTCAGTTTGTAGGATGGATAGTTTCTGGGGTCACCCTAGGAGAAGGGGCAGTGCCCAGAGGCAGGCTGTAATTTATGTCTTGAATGCTTTACTTTGATACTTCACACTGCTTGTTTCCTTTCGTTGCCACATATGCACAGGCTGATTCACTCTAGACCTGATTCTTTAACACCCTCTCACAGAATCACAGAACATTAGAGGTTGGAAGGGTCACTCAAGCTGAGCTGCACTCACTCATATTACCAGTCCCATTTAGCATTTAGATGTGAAATCATGACTTCTCATAAAGACTGCAGGCTTGGAGTGCTATAATTACCCTTCACAGGGATGCCTGAGAGCTTGAGACAGATAGACACGTCATGTCGAGCCTGTTACAACCTTGGGCCCTTTCAAATTGACAGCTACCTTTCTGAGACATGCAAGTGAGGTTTAAACATGTGACAAATGTAAGGCTTCATAAGGCAGAGTCTGCAGGGCAGGGAAGGGCAGAGGCAGAGGCAAAGGCAGGAAAGCCTCATTCTGGGTCTCCCCAAAGTAGCCTGTTAAACTGAGCTTTGGACACAAAAACCTGAAGTACCTGGGACCACAGTTCCTTTCCTCGCTTGTAATTCTCCGTAGCACGGAACTTATTTCTCAATATCTCACCTTGCTTTTTCCTCCCCTCTAAGCAATTTTTGCACTATAGCTTTTCCTCTGTATTCCACTTCTTATTTATGTTAAACTTATTTGCCCACAGTCTATCTTACCAGGTATCCTGATGCTAGCAAGCATCCTTCACTTAGTCCTGCATCTTGTACACTCTAATTTATTTAAAAGCAACTCTTTAATACACACTCTTCACCTTGTAGTTTTCTTGCACTCCGTAGCTCTTTAGTCCGCTCAGATGTTGCATACTTAGCCAGGAATTCAGTCATTTGAGCTCTGCAACTTAAAATAGTAACCTAAAGTCTTGGATATACTCATAATAGAAACAGTACCTGCTCTAGGAAGATGGACCTTTAAGAAGGGCAGCTTAACACCTGCATTTGTCCCTGTGAAAGAGCATATAAGGGAGGTGCCTGGCACACTCAGGTGGTAAGCTGTGGGCTGAAGGGCAGCAGAGCTTGGAGGGGATGCAGAGAAGGGTGAGTTTCTTGTACCTGGCACTGAACAAAGGGAGCCCAGGGCTTGTGAGAGAGCTGAGCTCCAGCAGAGAACAGACCTTATAGCAAATTAGTGAGCAGGGCAGTTATGAAGAGGTGATTCCTTATGAAAGATATCGAACCTTGGGATTGAACCTTGAAATATATTGAACTTGATGGAATTTTTGGAAAAGTAAAGAAAGTAAGGTTGTTGCTTTGTGGGAGCTGGAGCTGAAGGGAGCTGAGGGTGCACCTGTGTGTGCAGCAGGGAGAGAGCCAAGGGTCTGACATCCAGATCCTTCTTTTTGCCTTTGCATGCTCAGAAAGGGAAAGTTCTCCAAGTCAGGAGTTGAAGGGAGAGGTTATATGAATGCTAAGGATAAGGAGCAGTACAGGGATACTACAAAAATGCTTTCAAGGGATCTTTAGCATTCACCAGAATAATCCCTGCAAAACAGATGGCAGAGCAGTTTAATATTCTGCCTGAAGGACAACTCCTCTAGCAAAACATCCTTACCCCCAGAGCTGCTTTCTGCTGGCAGCAATGGGAAGATTCCCAGATCCTACAGTGACCATAAGGACACTCTGCAGTCACAAAGATGACTGTAAAAGAATATCCTGAGGAATTTTTCCTTACTGAAAGGAGAAAAGAAATGGTGCAGACAAGTTTTAGTCAAGTTCCAGTCTCAGACTCTTAATGAGGATGCAATTAACGGATCCATTGGTACACACGAAGGACCAGATTTTTGAGATGCTTAACAACTCACAGCTCCCAGAGGAGCAGTATCTTGGATTTCAGGCAGCCAGCAATTACACAAATAGTGTTAGACAGACTGAGTACTGTAGCGAAGTCTGATTGCCACCTTGCTAGATTGCGGTGAAGCATTGCAGTGCTTGGGGCACAGCTCTGTGCTGCAGGCTGAGCATCCTTCAGTCTGTCCCTTGGCTTCTTGGCATTTTTCTG